TTAATAAAGTGAAAATATTTTAAAACAAAAAAATCCAAGTGATTGCATATAATAGTAATTTTTTTACACTTATGCTTGCTTTATGTTATTCAGCATGATAAATCCTCAAGATTTATCCATGTTGTAAGAGGTTGCACAGATACAGCACTATTCTTTATTACGGAAAAGTATTCTATTGTAAGTAAACACCACATTTTGTTTATCCATTCATCCACTGATAGACACTTAGGTTGCTTCCATCTCTTTTGCTATTGTAAATAAAGTTATCATGAACATGGGGTGTTTATATCTATTTGTGTCAAAGCTCTTATTTCTCTAGGATATGTATGTAGGAATAGGATTGTTGGATCATACAATATTTCTATTTCTAGGTTTTTTAGCAAGTGTCATGTAACTTTCCATAGTGGTTGTGCAATGTTGCAGTAATAACAGCAGTGTCTTAAAAGTTCCAATCTTCCCAAAGCCTCACAAGCATTTGTTGACTTTTTGTCTTTGATCAGTGTCATTATTGCTGTGTAACTCACTGTAGTTATGACTTGCGTCTCTAGTGGCTAATGAATGCCAACATTTTTTTTTTCTTGTTGTATACTATCGAGTCAGGTCTGACTAGAACAGAAGGAAATTGCATATCCTTCTCCAGCGGAGCATCTGGTAAATTCAAACTGTGCTCCTTTGGGATTGTAGCACAGCTTCTTGCCATTTGGCCACCAGAGCTCCCTGAATGCCAACATTTTCGTTCCATGTGTTATGTGCCTCAATGTCTTCTTCAGTCAAATATCTGTTCATTGCCCTTTGCTTATTTTTAATTTGAATTGTATTTTTCTTATTGAGGAGTTGGAGTTTTCTAAAAATCTCAGAGATTCAACCCTTGTAGATATGTCATGGACAACATTTTTTTTCTGTCTGTGTTTTCTCTGTTTATTCTCTGGCAAAGTATTTGATGTGCATAAGTATTTAATTTTTAGGAGATTTCAGTTACCTACTTTATCTTCTTCTATTTGTGCATCTTAAGCAATATTTGGTATTCTACAAGCAGTCAGGAAATGAAAAAGCATATCGCGATGGGAAAGTCTGCCATTAGGGACCTCTCAAAGGTACTCAGGAGCAACAGTGTCTCTCTGGAGACTAAGGTGCGCCTGATACAGGTCATGGTATTTGCAATCGCTTGTTATGCATCAGAGAGTTGGACAATGACTAGGGAGGACAGAAGGAGAGTGGATGCTTTTGAGCTGTGGTGCTGGAGAAGGGTACTGAATGTACCCTGGACTGCCAGGAAAACAAACAGATTCATCTTGGAGAGGATTAAACCAAGCTGCTCCTTGGAGGCAAGGATTCTGGGGCTTCGTCTGACATACTTTGGACATGTTGCCAGGAGGGACGGGTCCTTGGAGAGGGACATCATGCTTGGGAGGGTGGAGGGACAGTGCAGGAGGGGAAGACCCTCTATGAGATGGATTGATTCGGTGACTGGGGTAATCGGGATGGGTGTGTCAGAGGCGGTGCGGTTGGCGCAGGATAGAGCAGAGTTTAGAGCTGTTGTGCATAGGGTCTCTATGAGTCGGAAATGACTCGATGGCACATAACAACAACAACTAGAAGGATGTCTATTCATGTTTTATCAATTATGCAAAGGCATTGACTGTGTGAGTTACAACAAATTATGGTTAACATTGAAAAGAATGGCAACCCCAGAAAAATTAATTATGCTTATGGGAGACCTAGACGAAGAAGTTGTTATCAAAGCAGAGCAAGAGATCACTGCATGATTCAAAATCAAGAAAGGTGTATGTCAGGGATGCATCTTTTCTCCATACTTTTTTAATATATGTGCTGAACAGATAATTTATGAGGCTGGACTTTATATAAAGAAGAATGTGGCATCAGGCAGGACTCATCAACAACCTGCATTATGCTGATGACACATCCTTTCTTGCCACAACTGAGGAGGACTTGAAGTGTTTGCTGCAGAAGGTAAAGGACTGCAAACTTCAATATTGATGCAATATTGATTGTATCTCAACTACAAGAAAACAAAAATCCTCCCCCTGGGCAACATCATGATAGAAAGAGAAAAGATTGAAGTTATTAACGATTTCATCTTGTTTGGATCCACAATCAACACCCTTGGTAACAACAGTCAAGAAATAAAAAAATATTGCATTGGGAAAATCTGCTGTCAAAGACCTCTCTAGAGTGCTAAGAGTAACTATGCCAGTCTAGAAACTAAGTTGTACCTTACCCAGGCCATGATCTTCTCAATTGTGTGCTATGAATCTGAGAGCAAGACAATGACTAACAATGACAGAAGAAGAATCAATGCCTTTGAATTTTGGTGTTGAAGAAGAGTACTGAATATATTGTTCACGGACTGCCAAAAGAACAAACAGGTCTGTCTTGGGGAGGACGAAAGCAAGTTTCTCCTTGGAGGCAAGGATTTTGAGGCTTTTTCTCACATGCTTTGGGGTCAGTCCTTGGAGAAGGACATCTTACTTGGAGGGTAAAAGGTCAGTGAAGAAGAGGAAGACCCTGGATCAGATGGATTGACACATTGACTGAAGCAATGGGGGTAGGTGTGTCAGAGACAGTAAGACTGGTGTAGGATAGGGCACAGTTCAGAGCCATTGCTCACAGGGTCTCTATGAGTCAAAGTCGACTTGATAGCACAAAACAACAACAACATTTGTGCTATATATTAAGGCCCATAGTACTGTCTTTATTTTTCTCCCATAATCTTGATAACCTTGGTTTTTACACTTAGGTCTTTGATTCATTTTGTTGTTTTATGCTGTTGATTCAGAACTGATTCACAGTTGATCCAGCTGTTTTAAGAGACAGTAAATTGCAAGGGAGGAGATTGCCTATCTTCCTGTGGAGCAGCTGCTGGATTCAAACTGTGTGCCTTTGGTTATATTTTTCTATAAATGGTTATCCAGTTTTCCTAGCACTGTAATTCAATATATCTTAATTATATGTTCAAGCCTTCATTCTTTCTTAGCATTTAAATCTATCTCAAAAGAGTGACAAAGGAAGAGAATTTTCAGCTGGAGAAGGTGATGAAAATTTAATAGGTGAGATTCTTGAAATGAGATTAGAAGCAACTTCTCCATTTGGTGTTGAGCCAGTATTAGTTCTGCCAAGAATTTTCAAACTTGGGAAACAAACCAGAGTCAAGTTACTAAAACATTTTTCCAATTCTATGTATGAATATTATATTAAAGGTAAATGAAAATAGATGTTATGATTATAAATTTTTAAGTTGAGGAGATTGAAGTAAACTATTTATAGCAATATATATGTTCCAATAATTAAGCTGGATGGAAATTTATTTAAAGTAAAAAAATCAATAAATTAATTCAAAGTATGAAATATCAGGAGAAATGCTAATGCTTATCCTCAGAGATTGATTTACAACCCAAGTACATGACTATTTATTATATAATAATAAAATAAATTCCAATTTATTAGTTATCTCTTACTAAAAATTAATTTTCTTTCACCCCCTCTTCTCAGAAAAGATGTGTTAAATATGTAAATCTTTACTAATCTAATCTCACCTTTGCTTCTAATTCAGAGTTCTCTTTCTGGAGTAAGTCATAAGCTATTAAAAAATGGTCTTTATCTTCTGTTGACCCATGAAGACTTTGAATTTCATTATAAAGGCATGTAAGTTCTGATTTTGAGTTTTGTAATTCCTGATTAAGAAATGAAGGTATTTAGTAGAATGAAATAAGACTATTTTCCATAAAAGACAAAATATTTTATAAAAATAAAATAGTATGACAAAGCACTTTGAAATGGTCCTAATACAAAATTTTGTCTTAAATATTTCAATCTTTTTAAAAAACTTCTTTCTACTACTGCAGTATTATTACTGTAAGCACAATGCTTTGTAGATTGAATTTATTTTAATGTGAAGGTAAATGGTAGCTTGAAATCTTAAATTAGAAATGTCTGAATTACTGATAAAATACCTCACTTTGAACTTGCACAGTCTTCTGGACAGAATTAAGATCAGATGACAATGACTCTCTCCTCTCTTTCTCTTCTGACAACTCACTTTCAAATATTTCAGTTTTTTCTTGGCTCATTGTCAGCATCTATAAAAAGCCATTTTTGTAATTAAGTCTATAAATGCATAACAGTCTTTCCTATGGATTAATAATAACAACCTTCTAACTCAATTATAAAGTCTTCTAGGGGAGTTAAAGAACCTGGGAAAATTAGTGCATAGTACAATAAGATATTGTATTAAGATATACTTATCCTACCTGGTTTAGCCATCACAATGGGAGAAAAATGTGACTTTGAAAATTTTTAGAACCTACCGGCCAGCTCCTTGGAGGCAAGGATTCTGAGGCTTCGTCTAACATACTTTGGACATGTTGTAAGTAGGGAGCGGTCCTTGGACAGGAACATCATGCTTGGTAGGGTGGAGGGACAGCACAGGATGGGAAGGCCCTCTAGGAGGTGGATTGACTCAGTGACTGGGGTAATCGGGATGGGTGTATCTGAGACAGTGCAATTGGCACAGGACAGAGCAGAGTTTATGGCTGTTGTACATAGAGTCGCTATGAGTCACAATGACTCGATGGCACATAACAACAACCAATTATAGGATATTGTTGACTTCTTATCAAACTAATTGATAATAGCAACTGCCAACAAAAAGACCAGCTGTTGCTATTTAGTGATTACTGTATGTCAGATACTATGGTAAGTGCTTTATGGGCATAATTTCATATTGTCTTCTCAGAACCTCAATAAGACAGTAACTATTATTACTTGTTTTTTTTACAGGGGCGATTACTAAGAAGGTCAAGATATGATAGATAATTTGCCCAAAGTAACACTGGGATTCAAACCTAAGTTTAACTTAAAAGCACTTGCTTTTAATATCCATGTTATATAGCTTTGCCAAAGTACATTTTCACTTGAGTAAAAAAAAATCTATTAGGAAATGAATTGATGTATAAATGCAGCTATTGAATGTTGTTGTTGTTGTTGTTATGTGCCACTGAGTCACCTATGATTAATATTGACCTTAAGTACAGTAACTCTGAAGCCTGCCCTATCCTGAGCTAGTCTCATTGACTCTGATATACCTACACCCCCATTGCCCCAGTTACTGTATCAATCCGGGATCTTCCTATCCTGTGCTACCCCTCTACCCTTCCAAGCATGATGTCCTTGTCCAAGGACTCTTCTTGGCCACGTGCCCAAAGTGTTTGAGGCAGAGCTTCAAAATCCTAACCTCTAAGGAGAAACCTGGTTCACCCTCTCCAAGACAGACCTGTTTGTTCTCTTGGAGGTGCATGGTATGTTCAATACTCTTCTTCAATACCATAACTCAAAGGCATCGAATCTTCTTTTGTCACTGTCCAACTCTCTGATGCATAGCAAGTAATGGTGAAGACCATGACCTGGATTAGGCACATCTTAGTCTTTAGACTAACACTGTTGCCTCTCAGTACTCTGAAGGGGCCTCTGAGGGCATATTTTCCCAGTGCAATCCATCTTTTGATTTCATGACTACTGGTGCCAAGAGTGTTGACTGTGTAACTGAGCAAGCCAAATTTTTTAACTAACTCAATCTCTTCTCCATCTATCATGGTGCTGCCAATTGGCCCAGTGGCAAGAATCTTTTTCTTCTTTATGTTGGACTCCAGTCCTTGACTTTCAGCAGCAAGCACTTCAGGTCCTTTTTTGTTTCAGCAAGCAAGTTTGTGTCATCTGCATAATGCAGATTGTTGATGAATCTTCCTCCAATCCTGATGCCACATTCCTCTTCATAAATCCCAGCCTCCTGAATAATCTGTTCTGCATATAGGTTAAAAAGGTATGGAGACAAGACACATTCCTTGATTTTGAACCGTGCAGTGTTTCCTTGTTCTGTTCTGAGGACTGCTTCCTGGTCAAGAATAGGTTTTGCATAATAAACACAATCAAATGTTCTGGGATTCCCATTCTCCTCAAGGTTAGCCACAATTTGTTTTGATCCACACAGTCAAATGCCTTTGTATAATCAATGAAACAATGACAGATATTTCTCTGGTACTCTTTGCTTTCTGCCAAGATCTATCTGACTTTGATGATAATGTCTCTAGTGCTACGTCCTCTTCTAAACCCAGCTTGTATTTCTGGTATTTCTCTGTCAATAGAGAGTGGTAATGAAGCCAATTCCCTCAATATTATTATCAAACTGTAGGCTCTTTGCCATTGTAAGAATATATCTGTAAAATAAACTAACTTCATATTTGGTTTAGCCAGTCAGGAAGCAGCATGAAATCGACACATCTATATTCTCTTTATTAACTAGGTTTAATGCATTGAACATTGACGGCAAAAGGCCAGACAAGTTCGGGGATGACATTGAAGACATTGTCCATGAAGAAAGCAAAAGGTAATTACAAATACAGGAAAGAAACAAAAGACAAAAATGGATATCAGCAGAGACCTTGAAACTTGTATGGGAAAGAAAAGCTGAAACAAGGGGAAAGAATGCCAAGGTAAGAAGGCTGAACAGAAGAATTAAAAGGGCAACTGAAGAAGACAAAATATTATAAAGAAAAAAAACCCCACAACCTTTTATATGGATTTGGGGTGAAGGAAGTGGGAAGGATATTTTGTGAAAAACAATGTATTCAAACTTTGTAAATAAATCAGAATAAATTTTTTTTAAAAGTATTATA